AGTAACTCACTTGTTAATCACCCTGGAAAGGCTTTACTATCAACATACAATAAGTTACCAGGATTTCATAAGATCCAGCTTCCAAATGTTGTCTAAGAACAAACCTTGTAAATTAAGCTGTTTCCTCTTGATTATACCTGAAGCACATGAATCTGTGATGGCCGAGCGGTTAAGGCGTTGGACTTGAAATCCAATGGGGTTTCCCCACGTAGGTTCAAATCCTGCTCCCAGCGAATTCCTACTTTAAATTCAATGCACCAGAAGTTGCTCAACAGACAATCGAGGGAGAACATCTAAAACCTCTGGATATCTCCAGGTTTAGTTCCTGTTTGCCTTTATTTCTGCAGTGACTTGTTGCATCCATGTTTTGCTCCTTGGTCACCTGTGAGAACATTGAGCTGTGATGGCCGTGAAGTTAAGGCGTTGGATTTGAAATCCAATGGGGTTTCCCCGCGCAGGTTCAAATCCTGCTCACAGCGACAATATACTGTAACAAGGCAATTGCCGATTGTATAAATGAAGGTTTTACTGTGAATGGTACATATGATATTAGATTCCTGCTCATAGCCACTCACTTGTTAATCACCCTGGAAAGGTTTTACTATCAACATACAATAAAGTTACCAGGATTTCCGAAGATCCAGCTTCCAATCTAGTCTAAAACAAACTTTGCAAATTAGTGTTTCCTCTTGATTACACCTGAAGACATGGAGCTGTGATGGCCGAGAGGTTAAGGCGTTGGATTCGAAATCCAATGGGGGTTCCCCGCGTAGGTTCAAATCCTGCTCACAGCGATTTTAGGCTACAGATCTGAGATCTTCCTCAGATGGAGAGAAGTTTATCAGTGTGTGTTGAAGAAAAAAGTTGGTTTACTCTTGTGCATCATTATTTTCCAGTAATGTATTTGTTGCTTCTTGGACAAGTAAGCAGACAAGGAGCTGTGATGGCCGAGCGGTTAAGGCGTTGGACTAGAAATCCAATGGGGTTTCCCCGCGCATGTTAAAATCCTGCTCACAGCTAATTCCTACTTTAAATTCAATGCACCAGAAGTTGCTCAATAGAAGATCGAGGGAGAACGTCCAAAACCTCTGGAGACCTCATGGTTTACTTCATGTTTGCCTTTATTTCTGCAGTGACTTGTTGCATCCATGTTTTGCTCCTTGGTCACCTGTGAGAATATCGAGCTGTGATGGCCGAGAGGTTAAGGCGTTGGATTTGAAATCCAATGGGGTTTCCCCGCGCAGGTTCGAACCCTGCTCACAGCGATATAAGACTACCGAGTCCAACATATGAGATCTTCCTCCATACGGAGAGAAGTTTGTTCATCAGTGCGTGTTGCAGAAAACACGTTTATTCTCGTGCGCCATTTTTTTTCAGCGATATTTTTTTTGTTTCCTGATCAGTCATGTAGAGATCGAGCTGTGATGGCCGAGCGGTTAAGGCGTTGGACTAGAAATCCAATGGGGTTTACCCGCGCAGGTTCAATCCTGCTCACAGCGAATTCCTAGTTTAAATTCAATGCACCTGAAGTTGCTCAAACAGACAGTGGAAAGACAACATCCAAACCTCTGGAGTTCTCTGGGTTTACTTCCTGTTTGCCTTTATTTCTGCAGTGACTTGTTGCATCCATGTTTTGCTCCTTGGTCACCTGTGAGAAGATGGAGCTGTGATGGCCGAGAGGTTAAGGCGTTGGATTTGAAATCCAATCCCCGCGCAGGTTCGAACCCTGCTCACAGCGATATAAGACTACCGAGTCCAACATATAAGATCTTCCTCCAGACGGAGAGAGTTTGTTTGATCAGTGTGTGTTGCAGAAAAACATGTTTACTCTTGTGCGGCATTATTTTTCAGTGATATTTTTGTTGCTTCCTGAACAGTCATGTAAAGATCGAGCTGTGATGGCCGAGCGTTAAGGCGTTGGACTAAAAATCCAATGGGGTTTACCCGCGCAGGTTCAAATCCTGCTCACAGCGAATTCCTAGTTTAAATTCAATGCACCAGAAGTTGCTCAATAGAAGATCGAGGGAGAACGTCCAAAACCTCTGGAGATCTCCTGGTTTACTTCATGTTTGCCTTTATTCTGCAGTGACTTGTTGCATCCATGTTTTGCTCCTTGGTCACCTGTGAGAATATCGAGCTGTGATGGCCGAAGGTTAGGCGTTGGATTTGAAATCCAATGGGGTTTCCCACGCAGGTTCGAACCCTTCTCACAGCGATATAAGACTACGAGTCCAACATATAAGATCTTCCTCCAGACGGAGAGAAGTTTGTTGATCAGTGCGTGTTGCAGAAAAACACGTTTATCTTGTGCGCCATTATTTTCAGTGATATTTTTGTTGCTTCCTGAACAGTCATGTAGAGATCGAGCTGTGATGGCCGAGCGGTTAAGGTTGGACTAGAAATCCAATGGGGTTTACCCGCGCAGGTTCAAATCCTGCTCACAGCGAATTCCTACTATAAATTCAATGCACCAGAAAGTTGATCAATAGAAGATCGAGTGAGAACGTCCAAAACCTCTGGAGATCTCCTGGTTTACTTCATGTTTGCCTTTATTTCTGCAGTGAATTGTTGCATCCATGTTTTGCTCCTTGGTCACCTGTGAGACCATCGAGCTGTGATGGCCGAGAGGTTAAGGCGTTGATTTGAAATCCAATGGGGTTTCCCCGCGCAGGTTCGAACCCGCTCACAGCGATCTAAGAACATATAGATCTTCCTCCGACGGAGAGAATTTGTTTGATAAGTGCGAGTTGCAAAAAACACAGTTTTACTCTTGTGCGCAATTATTTTTCAGTGATATTTTTGTTGCTTTCCTGAACAGTCATGTAGACATCGAGCTGTGATGGCCGAGCGGTTAAGGCGTTGGACTAGAAATCCAATGGGGTTTCCCCGCGCATGTTAAAATCCTGCTCACAGCTAATTCCTACTTTAAATTCATGCACCAGAAGTTGCTCAATAGAAGATCGAGGGAGAACGTCCAAAACCTCTGGAGACCTCATGGTTTACTTCATGTTTGCCTTTATTCTGCAGTGACTTGTTGCATCCATGTTTTGCTCCTTGGTCACCTGTGAGAATATCGAGCTGTGATGGCCGAGAGGTTAAGGCGTTGGATTTGAAATCCAATCGGGTTTCCCCGCGCAGGTTCGAACCCTGCTCACAGCGATATAAGACTACCGAGTCCAACATATGAGATCTTCCTCCATACGGAGAGAAGTTTGTTCGATCAGTGCGTGTTGCAGAAAAACACGTTTATTCTCGTGCGCCATTTTTTTTCAGCGATATTTTTTTTTGTTTCCTGGTCAGTCATGTAGAGATCGAGCTGTGATGGCCGAGCGGTTAAGGCGTTGGACTAGAATCCAATGGGGTTTACCCGCGCAGGTTCAAATCCTGCTCACAGCGAATTCCTAGTTTAAATTCAATGCACCTGAAGTTGCTCAACAGACAGTGGAAAGACAACATCCAAAACCTCTGGAGTTCTCTGGTTTACTTCTGTTTGCCTTTATTTCTGCAGTGACTTGTTGCATCCATGTTTTGCTCCTTGGTCACCTGTGAGAAGATGGAGCTGTGATGGCCGAGAGGTTAAGGCGTTGGATTTGAAATCCAATCCCCGCGCAGGTTCGAACCCTGCTCACAGCGATATAAGACTACCGAGTCCAACATATAAGATCTTCCTCCAGACGGAGAGAAGTTTGTTTGATCAGTGCGTGTTGCAGAAAAACACATGTTTACTCTTGTGCGGCATTATTTTTCAGTGATATTTTTGTTGCTTCCTGAACAGTCATGTAGAGATCGAGCTGTGATGGCCGAGCGGTTAAGGCGTTGGACTAGAAATCCAATGGGGTTTACCCGTGCAGGTTCAAATCCTGCTCACAGCGAATTCCTAGTTTAAATTCAATGCACCAGAAGTTGCTCAATAGAAGATCGAGGGAGACGTCCAAAACCTCTGGAGATCTCCTGGTTTACTTCATGTTTGCCTTTATTTCTGCAGTGACTTGTTGCATCCATGTTTTGCTCCTTGGTCACCTGTGAGAAGATCGAGCTGTGATGGCCGAGAGTTTAAGGCGTTGGATTTGAAATCCAATGGGGTTTCCCCACGCAGGTTCGAACCCTTCTCACAGCGATATAAGACTACCGAGTCCAACATATAAGATCTTCCTCCAGACGGAGAGAAGTTGTTTGATCAGTGCGTGTTGCAGAAAAACACGTTTACTCTTGTGCGCCATTATTTTTCAGTGATATTTTTGTTGCTTCCTGAACAGTCATGTAGAGATCGAGCTGTGATGGCCGAGCGGTTAAGGCGTTGGACTAGAAATCCAATGGGGTTTACCCGCGCAGGTTCAAATCCTGCTCACAGCGAATTCCTACTATAAATTCAATGCACCAGAAGTTGATCAATAGAAGATCGAGTGAGAACGTCCAAAACCTCTGGAAATCTCCTGGTTTACTTCATGTTTGCCTTTATTTCTGCAGTGACTTGTTGCATCCATGTTTTGCTCCTTGGTCACCTGTGAGAATATCGAGCTGTGATGGCCGAGAGGTTAAGGCGTTGGATTTGAAATCCAATGGGGTTTCCCCGCGCAGGTTCGAACCCTGCTCACAGCGATATAAGACTACCGAGTCCAACATATGAGATCTTCCTCCATACGGAGAGAAGTTTGTTCGATCAGTGCGTGTTGCAGAAAAACACGTTTATTCTCGTGCGCCATTTTTTTTCAGCGATATTTTTTTTGTTTCCTGATCAGTCATGTAGAGATCGAGCTGTGATGGCCGAGCGGTTAAGGCGTTGGACTAGAAATCCAATGGGGTTTACCCGCGCAGGTTCAAATCCTGCTCACAGCGAATTCCTAGTTTAAATTCAATGCACCTGAAGTTGCTCAACAGACAGTGGAAAGACAACATCCAAAACCTCTGGAGTTCTCTGGGTTTACTGCCTGTTTGCCTTTATTTCTGCAGTGACTTGTTGCATCCATGTTTTGCTCCTTGGTCACCTGTGAGAAGATGGAGCTGTGATGGCCGAGAGGTAAGGCGTTGGATTTGAAATCCAATCCCCGCGCAGGTTCGAACCCTGCTCACAGCGATATAAGACTACCGAGTCCAACATATAAGATCTTCCTCCAGACGGAGAGAAGTTTGTTTGATCAGTGCGTGTTGCAGAAAAACACATGTTTACTCTTGTGCGGCATTATTTTTCAGTGATATTTTTGTTGCTTCCTGAACAGTCATGTAGAGATCGAGCTGTGATGGCCGAGCGGTTAAGGCGTTGGACTAGAAATCCAATGGGGTTTACCCGCGCAGGTTCAAATCCTGCTCACAGCGAATTCCTAGTTTAAATTCAATGCACCAGAAGTTGCTCAATAGAAGATCGAGGGAGAATGTCCAAAACCTCTGGAGATCTCCTGGTTTACTTCATGTTTGCCTTTATTTTCTGCAGTGACTTGTTGCATCCATGTTTTGCTCCTTGGTCACCTGTGAGAATATCGAGCTGTGATGGCCGAGAGTTTAAGGCGTTGGATTTGAAATCCAATGGGGTTTCCCCACGCAGGTTCGAACCCTTCTCACAGCGATATAAGACTACCGAGTCCAACATATAAGATCTTCCTCCAGACGGAGAGAAGTTTGTTTGATCAGTGCGTGTTGCAGAAAAACACGTTTACTCTTGTGCGCCATTATTTTTCAGTGATATTTTTGTTGCTTCCTGAACAGTCATGTAGAGATCGAGCTGTGATGGCCGAGCGGTTAAGGCGTTGGACTAGAAATCCAATGGGGTTTACCCGCAGGTTCAAATCCTGCTCACAGCGAATTCCTACTATAAATTCAATGCACCAGAAGTTGATCAATAGAAGATCGAGTGAGAACGTCCAAAACCTCTGGAGATCTCCTGGTTTACTTCATGATTGCCTTTATTTCTGCAGTGAATTGTTGCATCCATGTTTTGCTCCTTGGTCACCTGTGAGACCATCGAGCTGTGATGGCCGAGAGGTTAAGGCGTTGGATTTGAAATCCAATGGGGTTTTCCCGCGCAGGTTCGAACCCTGCTCACAGCGATCTAAGAACATATAAGATCTTCCTCCAGACGGAGAGAAATTTGTTTGATAAGTGCGAGTTGCAAAAAAACACAGTTTTACTCTTGTGCGCAATTATTTTTTCAGTGATATTTTTGTTGCTTCCTGAACAGTCATGTAGACATCGAGCTGTGATGGCCGAGCGGTTAAGGCGTTGGACTAGAAATCCAATGGGGCTTCCCCGCAGGTTCAAATCCTGCTCACAGCGACTATATACTACTAATAAATTATATAAATGAAAGGTTTTAGTGTGAATGGTACAAATGATATTAGAATCCTGCTCATAGTAACTCACTTGTTAATCACCCTGGAAAGGCTTTACTATCAACATACAATAAGTTACCAGGATTTCATAAGATCCAGCTTCCAAATGTTGTCTAAGAACAAACCTTGTAAATTAAGCTGTTTCCTCTTGATTATACCTGAAGCACATGAATCTGTGATGGCCGAGCGGTTAAGGCGTTGGACTTGAAATCCAATGGGGTTTCCCCACGTAGGTTCAAATCCTGCTCCCAGCGAATTCCTACTTTAAATTCAATGCACCAGAAGTTGCTCAACAGACAATCGAGGGAGAACATCTAAAACCTCTGGATATCTCCAGGTTTAGTTCCTGTTTGCCTTTATTTCTGCAGTGACTTGTTGCATCATGTTTTTGCTCCTTGGTCACCTGTGAGAACATTGAGCTGTGAATGGCCGTGAAGTTAAGGCGTTGGATTTGAAATCCAATGGGGTTTCCCCGCGCAGGTTCAAATCCTGCTCACAGCGACAATATACTTAACAAGGCAATTGCCGATTGTATAAATGAAGGTTTTACTGTGATGGTACATATGATATTAGATTCCTGCTCATAGCCACTCACTTGTTAATCACCCTGGAAAGGTTTTACTATCAACATACAATAAGTTACCAGGATTTCCGAAGATCCAGCTTCCCATCTAGTCTAAGAACAAACTTTGCAAATTAAGTTGTTTCCTCTTGATTACACCTGAAGACATGGAGCTGTGATGGCCGAGAGGTTAAGGCGTTGGATTCGAATCCAATGGGGTTCCCCGCGTAGGTTCAAATCCTGCTCACAGCGATTTTAGGCTACAGGTTCAACATATCTGAGATCTTCCTCCAGATGGAGAGAAGTTTATCAGTGTGTGTTGAGAAAAAAGTTGGTTTACTCTTGTGCATCATTATTTTCCAGTAATGTATTTGTTGCTTCTTGGACAAGTAAGCAGACAAGGAGCTGTGATGGCCGAGCGGTTAAGGCGTTGGACTAGAAATCCAATGGGATTTCCCCGCGCATGTTAAAATCCTGCTCACAGCTAATTCCTACTTTAAATTCAATGCACCAGAAGTTGCTCAATAGAAGATCGAGGGAGAACGTCCAAACCTCTGGAGACCTCATGGTTTACTTCATGTTTTGCCTTTATTTCTGCAGTGACTTTGTTGCATCCATGTTTTGCTCCTTGGTCACCTGTGAGAATATCGCTGTGATGGCCGAGAGGTTAAGGCGTTGGATTTGAAATCCAATGGGGTTTCCCCGCGCAGGTTCGAACCTTGCTCACAGCGATATAAGACTACCGAGTCCAACATATGAGATCTTCCTCCAGACGGAGAGAAGTTTTTTCGATCAGTGCGTGTTGCAGAAAACACTTTTTCTCGTGCGCCATTTTTTTTCAGCGATATTTTTTTTGTTTCCTGATCAGTCATGTAGAGATCGAGCTGTGATGGCCGAGCGGTTAAGGCGTTGGACTAGAAATCCAATGGGGTTTACCCCGCAGGTTCAAATCCTGCTCACAGCGAATTCCTAGTTTAAATTCAATGCACCAGAAGTTGCTCAATAGAAGATCGAGGGAGAACGTCCAAAACCTCTGGAGATCTCCTGGCTTACTTCATGTTTGCCTTTATTTCTGCAGTGACTTGTTGCATCCATGTTTTTGCTCCTTGGTCACCTGTGAGAAGATCGAGCTGTGATGGCCGAGAGGTTAAGGCGTTGGATTTGAAATCCAATCGGGTTTCCCCGCGCAGGTTCAAATCCTGCTCACAGCGATATAAGACTACCGAGTCCAACATATGAGATCTTCCTCCAACGGAGAGAAGTTTGTTTGAGCAGTGCGTGTTGCAGAAAAACACATGTTTACTCTTGTGCGGCATTATTTTTCAGTGATTTTTGTTGCTTCCTGAACAGTCATGTAGAGATCGAGCTGTGGTGGCCGAGCAGTTTAGGCGTTGGACTAGAAATCCAATGGGGTTTTACCCGCGCAGGTTCAAATCCTGCCTCACAGCGAATTCCTAGTTTTAAATTCAATGCACCAGAAGTTGCTCAATAGAAGATCGAGGGAGAACGTCCAAAACCTCTGGAGATCGCCTGGTTTACTTCATGTTTGCCTTTATTTCTGCAGTGACTTGTTGCATCCATGTTTTGCTCCTTGGTCACCTGTGAGAATATCGAGCTGTGATGGCCGAGAGGTTAAGGCGTTGGATTTGAAATCCAATGGGGTTTCCCCGCGCAGATTCGAACCCTGCTCACAGCGATATAAGACTACCGAGTCCAACATATGAGATCTTCCTCCAGACGGAGAGAAGTTTGTTCGATCAGTGCGTGTTGCAGAAAAACAATTTATTCTCTTGCGCCATTTTTTTTCAGCGATATTTTTTTGTTTCCTGTTCAGTCATGTAGAGATCGAGCTGTGATGGCCGAGCGGTTAAGGCGTTGGACTAGAAATCCAATGGGTTTACCCGCGCAGTTCAAATCCTGCTCACAGCGAATTCCTAGTTTAAATTCAATGCACCAGAAGTTGCTCAATAGAAGATCGGGGAGAACGTCCAAAACCTCTGGAGATCTCCTGGTTTACTCATGTTTGCCTTTATTTCTGCAGTGACTTGTTGCATCCATGTTTTGCTCCTTGGTCACCTGTGAGAAGATCGAGCTGTGATGGCCGAGAGGTTAAGGCGTTGGATTTGACATCCAATGGGGTTTCCCTGCGCAGGTTCGAACCCTCCTCACAGCGATATAAGACTACTGAGTCCAACATATAAGATCTTCCTCCAGACGGAGAGAAGTTTTGTTTGATCAGTGCGTGTTGCAGAAAAACCATGTTTTACTCTTGTGCGCCATTATTTTTCAGTGATATTTTTGTTGCTTCCTGAACAGTCATGTAGAGATCGAGCTGTGATGGCCGAGCGGTTAAGGCGTTGGACTAGAAATCCAATGGGGTTTACCCGCGCAGGTTCAAATCCTGCTCACAGCGAATTCCTAGTTTAAATTCAATGCACCAGAATTGCTCAATAGAAGATCGGAGGAGAACGTCCAAAACCTCTGAGATCTCCTGGTTTACTTCATGTTTGCCTTTATTTTGCAGTGACTTGTTGCATCCATGTTTTGCTCCTTGGTCATGAGAAGATCGAGCTGTGATGGCCGAGAGGTTAAGGCGTTGGATTTGAAATCCAATGGGTTTCCCCGCGCAGGTTCGAACCCTGCACACAGCGATATAAGACTACCGAGTCCAACATATGAGATCTTCCTCCAGACGGAGAAGTTTGTTCGAGCAGTGCGTGTTGCAGAAAAACCGTTTATTCTCGGCGCCATTTTTTTTTCAGCGATATTTTTTTTGTTTCCTGATTCAGTCATGTAGAGATCGAGCTGTGATGCCGAGCGGTTAAGGCGTTGGACTAGAAATCCAATGGGGTTGACCCACGCAGGTTCAAATCCCTGCTCACAGCGAATTCCTAGTTTAAATTCAATGCACAGAATTTGCTCATAGAAGCGAGGAGAACGTCCAAAACCTCTGGAGATCTCCTGGTTTACTCAGTTTGCCTTTATTTCTGCAGTGACTTGTTGCATCCATGTTTGCTCCTTGGTCACTGTGAGAAGATCGAGCTGTGATGCCGAGAGGTTAAGGCGTTGGACTAGAATCCAATGGGGTTTACCAGCGCAGGTTCAAATCCTGCTCACAGCGAATTCCTAGTTTAAATTCAATGCACCAGAAGTTGCTCAATAGAAGATCGAGGGAGATCGTCCAAAACC